GAATCGGTCGAAATAACGATTTGACGAAATTGAGAATTGGCAGAATCAAGGCAGCGAATCATGGAATAAGGCGTATTGAATCATGGAATGGGCAATTGCCGAGGCTCGGGTCAATCGAGTTATTGGCCGGGCTACGGTCTATGAGGAAGGCAGTTTGCCGAGGGCCTCGTCTAATGCCAAATCAAACGTAAATCATAACTGGACATGCGCACGCGAGGCATTGACGGGAAGACGCGGGAGCGCGGTACGTTGTTGAAGGCAAGGCATAGGCCCTGGGTTTCTCCAGCTAAGTGCGTGTACCGCTGTGTACGTGACGTGTTCGACGCGCCCGTGCACGTGGTGTACGTCGTGTACGCGCGTGTAGCGGTGGCGTGTGACCCGCGCGTGCACGTGTGTGTCACGCGTGTAAGTGCCGTGTACCGGCACGTGTACGCTGAGTGTATATGCGTGTACGGTTGCTGTACCAAGCGTGTACGTGCGTGTCGTGCAGTGTAGTGCGTGTACCCCGGCGTGTACGTGCGGTGTATCTCCGTGTATTCCCCGCGTGAAGAACGTGCGTGTATTCCGTGTACCCGCCGTGTACGCTGCGTGTAATCTGGCGCATGTCGTGCTGTACCGCGCGTGTGTCGTGCGTGTTACGCGGTGTACGTGCGTGTATGTGCGTGTTACGCTGGGTGCGTAAAGAACGGGAGGGAGCGGTCGTTGCATCAGGAACGCAATCGGTGGCGGGTGTTCCAGCATAAGTGCGTGTACCGCGGTTGTGGCTCCGCGTGTAGGGTGCGTGTACCGGTGTACGCGTGTAACGGTGCGTGTACCCGGTCGCCCGTGCGTGGTACCTCGCGTGTCGGCTGGTGTACCCCGTGTCACGCGTGTACGTGCGTGTACCCCGTGCACGTGCGTGTAAAGCCGCGTGTACGTGCGTGTACACGGCGTGTACGTGCGTGTAACGCGTGGCACGTGCGTGTCGAGTGTACGATGCGTGTACGCGCATTTGTAGCGTGCGTGTATCTGCGTGTAGCAGGCGTGTAAGCCGCGTGGTCCGTGGGTGTACGTGCGTGTACTGCGTGTACCCGCGGTGTACGTGCGTGTTTCTTCCGATGTACCCGGCGTGTAGTGGCGTGATTTGCGTGTGTGCGTTCCGGGTGTAAGGCGTGTATCTGCGTGTACGTGGTGTACGGCTGGCGTGTACGTGCGTGTAGGTGCGTGTACCTGCGTGACGTGCGTGTACAGCGTGTACGTGCGTGTACACGGCGTGGTGAGCGTGCGGTGTACCCGCGTGATACCCAGCGTGTAGTGGCGTGTACCGTGTGTGATGTGGTTATCGTGCGTGTAGCGTGGGACGATGTAACCCGGTGTGACGTTGCGTGTATTCCGTGTCGCGTGTCCGTGCGTGTTGCTGGCATGTATGCGTGTACCCGCGGTGTCGTGGCGTGTATCGCGTCGTACGTGCGCTGATATCTGAGTGTACGTAGCGCTGGGGTGGCCGTACAAGCAGGTATACACGCACGGTCACGTGGACCAGCGGAAGATACACGCACGGTACAGCGGGCACCGGAAGTACACGCACGTACACGCGGGTACACGCACGTACACGCACGTACACGCACGTACACGCAGATACACGCACGTACACGTGGGTACACGCGGGTACACGCAGGTACACGCACGTACACGCGGGTACACGCACGTACACGCGGATACACGCACGTACACGCGGGTACACGCACGTACACGCGGGTACACGCACGTACACGCAGGTACACGCACGTACACGCAGATACACGCGGGTACACGGAGATACACATAGTCGAGCCGCGGCAATATTATTGCTCGATAGACGAGCCTCGGCAATTGCTCGATAGACAAGCCTCGGCAATTGCTCGATTGACGAGCCTCGGCAATTGCTCCATTCCATGATTCAATACGCCTATTCAGTATTCGTGCCTTTGATTTGTCAATTCGTCAATTCGTCAAATCATCAATTCGTCGATTCAATTTGGCAATTCGTTATTTAATTGCTTAATTGAACGTTTGAATGATTAAATTTACTGTTCAATTGAACAATCAATAGATCAATTGAACGTTTGAATGATTAAATTGACTGTTCAATTGAACAATCAATTGATCAATTGAACAATCAATTGATCAATTGAACAATTAATCAATCAATTGAACAATCAATCGATCAATTGAACGTTTGAATGATTAAATTGACTGTTCAATTGAACAATCAATCGATCAATTGAACGTTTGAATTTTGACACATATCCCCTCCCATAGGTAAAGGCGTTATCTATGCCATTCGCGTGTGTATAATCGTGGTGAGACCCATGCAGCTGTTACATGTTGTTACGTGTGTATAGGAGAACATTGCTGGCACGAGGATTCACGGCATTCAAGCGGTCGATTATATCACCCTCCAAACCTATTTTACGAGAATACCGTACAAAAGACATTGGTTTCAGTAAAATCCAAAAAATTGTCACGAGTAAAACACACCTGGCACATTCTTGAAATGCTCTTGATTAGATTTTTTACATTTAAACATTCGTTTAAGGTACCGGCAAGTTTAAAATCTATGAAGGCAAGTACATTTAATGTGCAACTTGAGATGTAAGTGCTGGCAAAGGTTAATATACTCGGAAACGGCTACAGCATATGATTAATTATTTGGAGAAACATGCATGACAAAAAACACTGACCAAATATCTTCTGTGTAGCGCGTTGAATTTCAAAGGGAGGGCAATACCTAATATAGCCTTCAGAATCGAGCCTGCCCTGTATGAGAGGCTTTCTCACCCTTTGTGTAACTGTCAGAAAAGCACACATAGCAAACCAGCTGTTATATTTCCCAAACTTCCATTTTTAGAATTGCCCCCGCCAGGGATTTTGAGGGGTGCGTACTACTAATAACTCGACATTATGTTTGATATGGCCAGGCAACCAGACTGTGCATTCGTAATATTTTTGCCGCTAGATGGCAGCAGAATATAAATAAATCTGTAGCTGTAGATGCATGCCGGCAGCAAATGGTCTATTACATGACCGTCTTTCCACAATTTGCTTATATTCGTGTTTTTTATTATAATTATCTCTACAATACAATATAATACAATCATATATATATATATAAATTACAATAATAACTTTTCATCTATACCATAGCATGAAGTTATTTTACAGACTATAATATTTATTTGTACCCGTTACGCTTGTTACTCTTACACTTGTAATGTGTAATGTTTCATATAAACTCTTCATAGTGGTGTATTAAATTGGCAAGAAAGCACGCGAATTGGTTGCTCGTTGTAATGTTAGAATACATATCATATTGTAAACTTGGCACTGCTACTGAATTTAAACTCAGTTTCCTTCAGTCACGAATCAATAAATTCGTCATGCTCACTCTGAACTTTGACCGACTAAATAATCTGAATTATTGAACTGAATATCTAAACGAAAGATTTTCCTTGTTGTTCACAATAGTTGCGCTTGTTTATTATGCTTATCCTGTCTAAATTTACATTGCTTGCTAACTAAACAGCTAAGTATCACAGTTATTTTTAAATCGCAAAGCCGGGCAGTTTTCAAATATTCTCTGAATCGCCCCCGTCAAGTATTTTACGGAAGCTATATTTAGCTTAACAATTCCTATTTTACAATGGTTAATTTTTTCTTATTGTAATAATTAAAGCCTGTGCTAGCGTACTGTAGAAAATACGTAAGAAAATTGAGAAATTGGTAATCTGCAGTTAAATAACCGTAGAATGAGTTCACAGCAAAGAGGAATTCACATACATATGTGCTTGCGACCATAGTTTTCACACTAGTAATACACAGATCATGAGTGAACGTACTCAGTATTTTCGATCCATTGTCTCTCAGGGTGCTCTGGTCTGGTCGAGACAGTCGAGTTATTGTTGTCTGCGAGACTGAACACGTAGTGCACGCGTGTGGCAGTCTAGGGTGAGTTTGCTATTTAGTCGTAGTAACTATACAAAAAAACACCACACGCCTGATTGGAAATATGTGCGCTACGCGTGTATTGCCAACGTCCTTCATGCTTTATTCAGGTTTTATTCCTGAGAAAATGTCAATTATGGGATGATGTTCCATAATATTTTGGATATCGTATCTATCAAGAGTAGATAATAACACACTAGTGTTATTATCTACTCTTGGTATCTATCTATTCAGTTTGACGGTGACGAATTCTGTGGATGCGAGAGCATATAGGTTCGTCGCCCCGCGTATTGTTGTCGCTGCTCGAGAAGCAATTTGGATCTCATTAAATACCTTCATATATATTGCGTGCAATTAACAATTGCAATTTTTATAAAACTTTCACTTGAAAATGCCTCAAAATATACAAAAATTACGCGAGCGTAAACCTAACAGCAACTATATGTACGCGCACTCACACATGCGCGCTCACGTGTACGCCTTACCACTCCCCACACCCGCATACAGACACATTCGCGCACGTACACACGCACGCACGCGTACACACGCACGCCCACACTCATTCACGCGCACGCACGCGCGCCCACCCGCACGCGCGCAAACAGGTGCACAGGTAGGCAGGCAGAAAGGCACGCACGCGCGCACGCACGCACGCAAACATTCGCGCGCACACACACACAAATATATAAATACGGCCATTCAATTTACGCGGAATTGCCATTAATTTGCCTTCAATCCACCCCGTGTGCGGTCGCATCATCTCTGCGTGTAGTGCTGGCGTGCATTGTCCAGCTCTCGCGAAGTGTCTATTTGCGTGGCTGCAGATCTTCCCTCTGCACAAGCGAACAAGAAGATATACATTGCAAACTTCCTTTGCTTGTCACCTCCCACGTAATTGAGGGCGCTTAATTATAATAACGACGAATAATGGGACGTTCCGGGCTATCAAACAGGTGGTTCCAAGTGAACAGTGCTCAACGCGCCTGCTCTCCACCCCCGCGCTGAAGTACTTGTGTCCACGCGTATCGTGGAAACCGCGGAGCCAGAACCAGCGGAGCTCCCTCATAGTTCGGATGTGTATTATAGTTAGTGTTAGTATCTGGCGTTTCCCATGAATTTGCCCAGGCTAAACTCGCAAACATGTCACTGAGGTACGTATAAGTTAGATAGTATTATGTCAGCTGTGAATCAAATGTTTGGTAAATGTTCTAAATGTGTTTATGTGCTCATGAGTGTTTTAATTTATGATTTACAGGCCATGCGGAGGTCTGCTTGGGGCCGCCGTGATCATATTCTGGTTAGGTCTATCGGTTTCCACATCCCAACCGGATGAGTTTAGCTTTGCCTCAGGTGAGTTAATACCACTGATCTGTCAAATAAATCACACGGTGAAAATACTGCTTACGCGCGCCTATACCTACTGTGTAGGTACTGATTTTTCGCACACTAAAAATTCATCGGCATGACCGTGTGTCGGGTGTGTCCGTGCAGGTAGCACAGTGATACGTAACACAGTAGCACGTGCGCGGACACCCAGACGTTAGAGGCAGTAAAGTTGTGATGTGGACGTAAAATGAATTTACACAATATATTTTACGACAGATATTTCGTGCTTTTTTTATTACAACGTGTACCATGGCTATGGAAAAATCAGCTTGCCCGTTGTTAGATTATACTCGATTGAGAGTTGTTCACGACAGCTTTCGTTATCTATGTTTCCACTTCCAACCATAAGTTTTAATATAGTTTTTTTGTTTCCCATCTCCTGTATTGTAATTATTTTCCTTCTTCCATAGTCAGTAGAAAATTGACAACTCTTTCAAGTGAAACGTCCACTCTTGGTCTAACTACTACGTGTTGGTTATGAGGTCTTTAACGGGTGTAAGATTTAAAGCCTTAGGTGTAAGAGTTCTTTAATGTAAGGCTGCTCAGCTCATGTAGGCATGTAGAGGGTTTACTCCAGTCTCCAGTGCCGGGCAGACAGATATATGGTGTCAATCGATGTCCAGTAGCATAACGATCTCTACATGGTGAGGTAACTTGCCCTAATAACTGTGCATGCTCATGGCAGGTTCGACGTAAAATAATACAATTACGATTATATGAATGCACGTGTGTGTTATTGCTGTAATATTACAACAATAACACATACGTGCATTCATATAATCGTAATTGTATTATTATTTACTATAATGCTATTTAGCACAAACAATGTAGTCATTCCGGAAACATTATTTGTGCATAAATCAGTTAAAACGTTTTCCTGTTAAGATTAATGGTATCGTGTGCCGGTTCGTCTGGCACTCATTTTCATGTTATTGACATTAATTAAATTACGTTTTACGGTTGCGTGCGTTTTGTAGTAACTAGGTTCATCACCGTGCTGCACGCATATATACCTGAGCATCACCTTGCCCCGACTACTGTCATGCGCCTCTCCGTGTAGTTACGCATTTTTATCACCTCCTCACCAGGCGCAGACAATGTGGAGTCAGTAATTAGTACGTTATGTCCACCAAAGCAACATTCCTCATGTGTAACACTTACATGTTTGTAGATACTGCGCATTACAAGTAGGATAGCTTCAGGGTATATCATAGAGCGTTTATTGCTCCCCGTGCATGGCTATATGTATATTGACTGTATACATAGATATACTGCATACATACAGACACACATACAACTGAGTAGGAAACTAAAAGCCTTCGGTACATTAGGATAAACTATACAAGATTACAGTGGCATAGACTGACAACGACTACAACGTAAACACAAATACACTTGCTCAGATACTCAGAACTATTCTGAATGTATTCACCAACAGAGAACAACTAAACCATCTTCACTATTGCTCTACTATTATCACGTGTAACACCATAAGTACTTATAAAATTGATAAAATTGCCTTGCAACTAATAGGTAATACATGTGTGTGTGTGTGTGTGTGTGTGTGTGTGTGTGTGTGTGTGTGTGTGTGTGTGTGTGTGCGTGCGTGTATGCGTGATAACTGACCATGATATTCTTATTTCATGACCATCTAAGGAACCGTCTCATTAAAATCAGTTAGGTTTTAGTTTGCGTGTTTTTATTGCCATTTCAGCAGTGGAACCTCGACAGTATTTATTTGGCAAAAATATAGCAAATCTGCGCGACGTGGGACAAGACCCACGATACTAAGAACATGCCGGTTTCCTTGAGCATATATCAGCCTGTTCTGCTAGCATCTAGGACAAATACGACATACGCATATACGCTCTCCTATGACACTATTTGTCATAGG